CATGCGATGAGTCGAGCTTTCTCTTCTTGTTCTGGTGCTCTGCCTCGTCTTTCTTCTTCTTCTCTCCCTCGCCGGTAATGGAGACCAAGAGTGCGCGGCCGTTCTCTCCTTCCTCGTCCAAAGCGAGCTTCCTCTTCTTTCCGCTTCGCCTCTCTTCCTTCGTCTCCGTAATGCTCACCGACTTCTTTTGCTTCTTCTTCGAGGGCGTGCTCTTGGCTTCGTCAGGAAGGTCGACGTCTATCTCCTCCTCGGTCCTCTTCTGCGCCTTCTCTTTTGTAAGCAGCTGAGGCTTTGGCATGGAGTGCAGCACCCGGCCCGTCACCTTTTTGACTGTGGAGAGCACCAACGTGAGCCGGATGAAGATGGAAGGCGAGATGAGAGATGGATGAGAGAGGAAATTTCGTACTTGTCGGCGAAAGCGTGCGGTAGAAGTCGAGGTACTTGTCCTTTAGCTTGGGGTCGGTGAGAGCTCCGCCCCCACCAGCAGGACCGGCACGACTGCCAGCTCGATTGCCGCCACCACCTCCCCGGCCACCTCCCCGACCAGCTCCGCTCCCGCCACGACGTTCTGCTCGAACGAAACGTCGTGGATGCTGCTGCGTCGACCCGGAAGCAGCGGACGATGCTGGCGCCTTACCCCCGCCAGGCATCTTTCTCTTGCCGGCTTGCATCTTCACAAGTTTACTTCGTTGGCAATCGCTTTTTATTTTTATTTTTTTCCCGCCTTTTTGTTGTTGGTCTTTGCTCATCAAAAAAGAGAGATGAGCGCCTAACCTTGGGTCTCATGAGTTGTTTTCTTGTTGTACGTTCAGCCCATGGTTTGTCGGAGGGAGTAGTCGGCGTGGTAGGTGGTGACGGGGACGTCCGTGACTCCGTCGAGCCCGGCGCCCTCGTCCTGCACCGGACTTCGTCCCAGCACCGCCCCGTCGCCGCTCACGCTCACCCGCCGCCTGGCCACAATGTCCATCGCGGTCGTCGTCCCTGGGGCTCCACCTTGGCCAGCTCTCGTCGCTCCACCTCCACCTCCACCTCCACCATCTGTGCCGCCGCCCGTGCCTCGGTCCATGGTGAGGGCCATCGTGGGGTGGTTGGTGAGTGGTGCTGAGGCACCCGCAGCTGAGGCGGAAGTGGTGGTGTAGCCGTCGTCTGCTGCGGGACGGCGCGGCGAGCCGATGGAGTCGCTGATGGCGCCGTCACGGGGCGAGAAGAGCTGGCGCGCGACGGGCTTGGACGTCGCTGGCTGGCCCGTCATGTCGAGCGGCGGCGGCGGGCGGCGGTGCGTTACTGATGGCGAGGTGGTCGTTGAACCACTATTTACATCGCTTAGTGCCGGCGCCGCCTTGTAGAACACCGTTGTGACAAACTTCTCCTGTTGTTCGAGTTGGAGGTTGGAGCAGTGATGGTGCTGGTTAGAACAAACTGAGATGGATCGTGAGAAGCCCATCGCGACAGCTTGCGGCGTGCCTTATATCGTTGAGTTGTGCCAAGGATGAGGATATCGCGCTTGTGGTCGTCCTCGTGCTTCCTGAAGTACAGGTGGTTTAGCATTACATGGTTGGGCAGCGGCAACACCGTGGGATCGTCTGTGTCAGGGCCATTTACGCAACACGGAACGTCAGAAAGGCACTATAGACGCACGACACGCGCGCAGGGAGAGCGTAGGGTAGGGCAGGGTGCCTGTGGTGGTGTTGAGGACTGCTCGCGTGCCGAGAAGGTGAGGCGGCAGAACTGGAGGCTCATCAGGCTTTTTCTTTTGGCCGCCAGGTCCGGGTGTGCCGAGGTCCTGTGGTTCGTCGAACATGTCATTGAACTTGATGAGCTCTGGTATCTCCTGTGTGTAGCTTCCCGGTGGCGACCCCCGCCCTGTTGCAGAAGCCAAGCGTCAGCTATCACCACTCTGAAGGTAGATGTAGTGGTATGCATACCCAGCGCATTGTTCTTTGACTGGCCAAGCCGGAACTCCTTGATCTCCATGCAGTTGTTGATATTGCCTCCCGAGTCGGTAGCGACAGGCTGATCCGCTGCGTGGGTCCACTTGCCATCAACGATAAATTTGTACCTGTTTATGGTTTGGTTGCGTCGAAAGTCATATGAGCCAATGCAGTCAGAGTAAGGTTTGGCACGTGATTGGGGAGCCTACTGGTGCACGCCTGGTGGGAGATCGATGATGGCGGTGAAGTCGTGCTCGCTGCGGTTCAACGGAATCACCCCCTGCCAATTGTTCCACGTTCCTAACCACACGACTACGTAAGACAAGGTGGGCCGAAGATGTAAGAGGGGCTCATGTGGGAGCAAGTACCCGTAACGGCAACGTTCTTGCCGCCGTGCGTCCACGTGAACACGGTGGCGACTCGCTCCTGTCCAGTTGGCACGGGACCGGAGGGAGAGACTGAGGGAAGAAAAGGCGAACAAGAAACAAGAAGGGAGAGAACGTGTCAGCAGCAACGTTACGCTCGAGCTTGGGGGGGGACAAGCATAGCCGTACCGCACATGTTCACACCAGAGAAGGGAGAGAGTGGGACGGGCATCGGTCGCGATGGGCTGGCAATCGGCGTCGGCTGAGTCGTTGTGCGTCGGTTTGCTGCTCGCGCGTCTGTGGTGCATTGCTCAGTAGGCGAACGGGTTCGTGGCCCTCCATCGCCTGCCATTGTGGCAGCTGCAACCTCACGAAGTGAAACGCTAATGGTGAGGCGGGCGTACCTGAGCGGGAGGGGGACCCCCGGGGGCTGTGGGGCGGGCTGCTGTCGGGTGTAGCGGGTGGGCTCGTCGGCGGGCTTATGAAGTATGACCGCAGACTGGCTCCACGACCGGCAGGGGTGCTGCCGGGCGGGCCGGGTTTCGACGTTCCCATTCCCATCCTGGGGCGCTACTAGCAGATGCATTTTTCATGTCAATTTACATGTGGGACATGCAAAAAGATGGAGAAAAAGCTACCTGCTGAACCAGTTGTCAGATTCAAGATTGCGAGGCCCCTGAAGTCTGTGGTTCTTCAGATCTTTGTTGTGCTTGTGTTTTGTGGCGTTTCCTCGTTCCCCCCTTAGAAATTAGCCAAGAAAATCCAATCATTTCCTTTGCTGCCCCACTCCGTCAGCTCTTGTGTAGAAGAGAAAATGTATTTCCTGCTGATTTCTGATTCTTTGCTCTGTTCTCGTTTTCGGCTGGTAGGTGCCACCACACCCGTGCCCCTCCCTCACTCTGGCATGTCTTTGTCTCCATTAGAACATGGACCCATAACTTCCCCCCAACCCTATGCGCCTGTCGCACAGCCGGCCATGTCTGCAGGGAAGCGCACCCCCACGGAGACAAAACCGCTGCCTCTGTGGGCTGGGTGGCTTTGTGGTGGGCTGGCCGGATGCAACGCCGAGGCCTGGACCCTGCCCATCGACATCACCAAAGTCCGGCTTCAGGTAGCGTTCCATTTCCCACTTGCCCGTACCCTTCGCTACTCTGCGTGCTGACTTCGCACGTGTCGTGCCGCTTGGTTAGCTGCAAGGACAGCAGATGGCCCTGGCTGCCCAGGCCGGCGACTCCGTTGGTGCCGTTCCGCTGGCTCCCAAGTACCGAGGGATGCTGCACGCCGGCGCCACCATTGTCCGCGAGGAAGGTACCTTCACTCAGCTGAGAGTGGTGGGCCTGGACGCGTGCGTGCGTGCCTCAACCTCGTGCGCCTACAGGTGCGCTGAGCCTGTGGAAGGGCATCGCGCCGGCCCTGCTGCGGCAGTTCCTGTACACGGGCCTGCGCATGGGAATCTACGAGCCCATCCGCAACTTCTTCGCCTTTGGCGGCACCAAGGCCTCCGACGCGCCACTGCTGACCAAGATCCTGGCCGGTACCGACAACTACGAGCTACTGTGTCGCCACTGTGGCGTGGTCATAACGTGAGCGTGGCGTGATGCTGCGGCAGGAATGGTGGCCGGCGGAGTGTCGGCGGCGGTGTTCACCCCGACGGACCTGCTGAAGGTGCGGATGCAGGGCTCTTCGGGCCAGCGGTACAGGAGCCTCCTGCACGCCATCAAGACCGTCGTGGCCGAGGAGAAGATCTCGGGCCTGTGGAAGGGCATGGGACCCACTTCGCAAAGAGCCGCAGGTACCCGGCCAACCCAACCCATCGCTACCGTACCGACTAGCTGATGTAGATCACTGTAAATGTTCATCGCCGCCTGGATTTTACAGTTGTGGCTGCGGCCGAGCTGGCGACCTACGACCAGTGCAAGCAGTTCCTGCTGGGCAACAACATCATGCAGGACAACATCTACACCCACTTTGCCGCGTCCTTCATCGCGGGATTCGTGGCCACCGCCTCCTCGTCTCCCATCGGTATGCCTCTCGCGACCTCTCGTGCAGCTTCCGTCCGATCATCTCCATCGTTGATGCTGATAGCACCAACCGGTCCGATGTGCACATTCCAACAGATGTGGTGAAGACGCGCGTGATGAATCAGCCATCGGACGCCAACGGCCGAGGGCTGTACTACCGTTCGTCGCTCGACTGCGCGCGCAAGCTGGTGGCCGCCGAGGGCGTGCGGGGCTTCTACCGTGGCTTCCTGCCCAACTGGATTCGGTTGGGTCCCTGGAACATCATCATGTTCCTCACCTACGAGCAGCTACGACGGGTCGTCGAGAAGCACTAGCGTTCGTTAGCCAGCGCTTCGTTTCCCTCCACGCCTCACCAATAAAATGGAGATAAAACGAACAATAACAAATAACAAATGATAACAGATAAATAAACAAACAGATAAATAATAACAAATAGATAAATAAACAAAAATAAATAACGTGGTGGAAACAAAAACTTTAATACACGTGTTAAAAGATGAAGGATAAAAGCTCTTGGCGGGTGCTGATGAAGCCCTCGACATGAAGGCTCGTTGTTGTTGTTGTTGTGTTCAGGAGGGTGCGGCGAAAGGGTCGCCCCGCTGTTGTGGCGTGGTGAGCTTGTGGGCAAAGGCCGACGTTCGCGGAGGCGAGGCGGAGGGCGAGAAGGGGCTCGTCGAGTTGTTGGGCAGAAGCGTAGTTGACGACGACGGAGATGACGTAGAAGAAGAAGAAGGCGGAGGCGATGCCGGCGGGTAGTTGTTGGGCGGAGGGAGCGAAGGTGCCGGCGGATATCCGAGCGCCTCCTGGAACATGGTCTTCTTCATGTCGTTGCTGAAGGCCGACAGTCGGTTGCAAATGATGTTGAGGTCCTCCACTATCTCGTCGTCCGTGAGGGTGTAGCTGATCAGGGGCGGTTGAGCTTCCGCAGCTTGGCCTGCAGCTGCGCGTTGGCATCGCCTCCTCCGCCGCCGTCCATCATCGAAGCCTCGGCCGAGGCCTGCTGGCGGGTGCGACGACGCGACGACGTGCGGGTCGTCATCCGGTCCGCACCCCGCCGCCGCCACCACCTGCCGCCCCGTTGGCCGCACCACGTTGGCCCGCTCGACCACCTTTGGCGGCCCGGCCGCCCGACTGGCTGCCACTGAGGCGTTCGAGCAGCTCCTGGCGCTCGAACTCGTACTCGTCCTGGGCCTGCTGGACCTGCGAGGCGTAGGTGTGCTCGAGGTTGCGCTGGGCGTACTCGCGCCAGCGCTGGGCCATCCACAGCTTCTGGTGCCGCTGCTCCTCGAGCGTCTTGAGCTTGTGCGCCACCTCCGCCTCCACCTGCTGCGACAGCATCACTTGAAGCGGGGCCACCTCCCTTCCGCCTCCGCCTCCGCCTCCTCCGCTGCCACCGCGGTGTTGCTCAGCCACAACTCCTCCGCCCTGGCCCCGCCGCCGACTCGTACGCCCTCCTCCCTCGCTTTCCATCGCTGCGGTGTGTAGAGGGTGTCGGGCTCGTAATAGAAAAAGATAAAGAGCAGCAACTAGAACAACAACAACCTCCTCCTCGGCTGCTGTTGCTGGAAGGAAGGAGAAGTAAAAGAAGAAAACAACTGCGCAGCGGCGGCAGCCGGGCATAGTTGGAATAGTTGGGGGCCAGCAGGTGATGTTACCTGACAAGCACGCGAACTACAGTGGTGCGGTTTGTGCTTGAGGGAGAAGGTCAGCGACAGGTTTCTTTGCGTGGTTGTGCTGGGCGGGGCAGAGCAAGACCAGGAGACGGGCCACCGAGAGACCATTCAACATTTGGCGCCCTTCTCCTCCGCAAGAAAGAACGGAGACGCAGAAAAGAAAGAGAAATAAATACACAAAATCACTTGAACTGATGGAAGCTGGGCCACACACGGCACAGTATTCGGTGTACCCTCGCCCGCTGATCCCAGCCATTGCCCAGGTACACCGGCTTCCCTTTTATTTATATTTTATTTTTTCAATTTTTTGATTTTAAAAAACAAAGGTAGAGGGGGCTGCAGCCCATCATCATGAAAGAGAGGTGCAGAAGAGTGCCTTCGCGGGGGCGTTGACAGTTCGAACAGTGGGGCCTGAGAAGGGCAAAGGCGTGTTCGCGCTACGCTCGTTCCGCGCGGGTGATGAACTGGGCCACGTCACCCCGTTCCTCTCCTACACCAACGCCGACACGAAGGTCGTTTACACTCGTGTACACACACGCGGTTGTTCGCTTGCGCTCAACTCTTCTCACTCGATCCACAGAGGGCGATGGTGGTGTGCGGCTACTGCCGGAGACCACTGCGGTGTCGCAGCGATGAGGAAAGGTCCGATCTCGCGCAGTGCCAGTGCCAGCGAGCGATGCCTCGCTCACCACTTTTCCTTCCGGTATGCAGGGAATGGATGGAACGACTGAGCCGAGACGAAGTATGCGGAGCATTCACCCCGGCCGGGGACAGTGAACGGCGGTGCGATCACTGTCGCGAGGAAGCCTACTGCTCATCGGCCTGCAAAGACGTAGCGTGGACCACCTTCCACCGAAGGCTGTGCCCACAACAGCCACATGCAGAGGTGTCAGGTATAATCCTCCACACACAATTACCGCCCTTTCTAAAACGTGTGACGCTCACGCTTCGCACGTGCGTAGAAGAGCAGCAGGAGGCGCTGCACCAACTGTGGAAGGAGTTCAGGGGCGTGTTCGGCGAGCTGCCACTGTTGGTGGGCAAATTGATCGCCAATGTGCTGACGCAGTTGGACGATGGCAAGTCACCCGAACAGGTAAGCCAATCCCTCGATAAAAGTGCACCAATGAGCGCGCACTGCACGCCTGATATGATCCGATTCGAGTACGCAGGCGGTGGACAGTTTTGAGCATTTTGTGGTGTACCCGCGAGAAGCCATCAAAGCAGAGGATCCGGTGGCCTACGACCAACTCGTGCGAATGGCCCACATCACCAACCGCGCGCTCTTTGACCCACGAATACCCCAATGTACAATCACAACCAACCACCATCTCTCGCATTCCCGCACAGCTCATGGTGAACCTATGTGGTGGTGGTTCGCGACAGTATTTGAGGAATCCGTTTATCTACGGTTAGCTGGGATCGTGCTACTCAATTCGCTAGGAATCGACTTCAGCTGCCCGGTTCGTTTTCTAGCCCATGAAGAGTATAGTCCACATGCTAATTAATGGGTGAACCCACGGCCCTTCAGGTTTTGAACACGCCGACACAAGCGGATGCCGAGCAGATCAAGATGATGGAATTTGATGGCGCGGTGGTGTGTCCCATCCTCTCTTCCCTCAATCACTCGTGCCAGCCAAACGTCAAGGTACCCGTCCTGCTCTCCAGCGCTCTTCCCTCATGAGCCGCTCGGTGATTGAAGTCAACGCTCCGCTCGCAGGCGCAGGCGCGGGGAGACAGCTGCCGGGTGTCGCTTATTGCCAAGCAAGACGTCGAGCCGAACGAAGAGCTGTGCATCTCCTACGTGCCCCTTTCCTGGACGCGCGCTACGAGGTCAGTCAGCATGCCATGTGCCCTCATCACCTGTACCACTTCTCCAAACCATCTGACACTGTTGGTGGTCCAGGCAAACCACCCTCCTCAAGAACTACTTCTTCCACTGCCAATGTGAGCGTTGCGTCAGTGAGGCAGCCGAAGCTGAAGATGCCATCAACATGTGATCCGGTCTGGCCCTGCTGGCTCCAGGCAGAGACATTCCGATGTGTTTTCTGCGGACTCAAAGTGGTGGCGTGCACGATTCGCGCACGTTCGCTGTTTACGCCACAACGGCAACAGAAGATCTCCACCCTCAGATTCGCTGCAAATCGCGAGTAGAACCACTTCTGCAAACAGTTCCTAATTGGAGATTTAATAGCAGAAAATCAAATCAAATCGAGCACTCGAATCTTCACACAGCACCAAACACACCCGATGTACCAGCTGCAGGTCCGTGTGGTCAGCGGCAACAATCTGCCTGTGGGAGATCTGAATGGTACGATAACCCATCAAGGTATACCAGGCCTTGTATCTTATCATTTTTATTATTATTTTAATCTCACGTGTGCAACCTCTTGGCAGGCTTTTCGGACCCCTATGTCAAGCTCTTTTGGTACTCCCACACTGCACTCTTAATTCATCTGCATCTTTAATTAATCATTAATGCTGAGAATGTTCAATTTTGCAGGGGCGGTCAGACAGTCAAGACTTCAACCAAGAAGAAGACTTTGAACCCTTACTGGTACCCTCCCTGTTCATGAACACACTCTCGCTTGCGTTCCTGCGTTCTGCACTTGGGCACCTTCTTGTGGGTGGGAGCTGGGACACTTATGCAACATGTTCTTCTGGGCACGTGCCGTTCAGGAATGAGACCTTTACGTTGACCTCTTCGCTGGCCACCGAGCCGTTGAAGGTGTCGTGCTATGATTGGGACCGATTCACCCGGGACGACGTCCTGGTACGCCGCCGACAAAGCTCTGCCTCCCTCCGATCACGTGCTCACCGTTGTTTGCTGTTTGTTGTTATGCAGGGCACCGGCGAAGTGCGCACCGACGATCTAATCAACAAAACCGAGAAATCAGTGCGCTTCCCCTCCCGCAAGCTTTGGCGAGTTGTCTGTACGCGAGCGCCGTCGGCACTGACACACACACACACACGTCTCCCACCTCCACCCACAGGTCACCGTGCACCTCTCACCACGAGGCGAGATCCAGCTACGGCTGACGGCGCTCAACTTCCCGGAGCACTACGGCAACACCGCTGGCACCACCACCTACACTACTACTTCTTATGTTCCCATGGGCGGCGGAGGTATACCTTACCACCCTTCGAGGGATCTTTGCGAGTTCGCCACCACTAACCTGCGATGATTGTGTGTCGTGTCGTGTCGTGTCGTGTCGTGTCGTGTCGTGTCGTGTCGTGTCGTGTCGTGTGGTCGTTGCAGGCACTGTGGACGACATGCTCAAGCAGCGGTTTTCGATGGGCTACAACTCGGGCGCAGCACCCTACATGTCCGGCCCGGCACCTTACGGCTCGGTGGGCCTCGGCGCTCCGCAGGGGCCGCCCTCCTACTACCCGCCACCACAGTCGCAGGCCCCGCCCGCGTCCTACTATCCCACACCACAGCAGCCGACCTACCCCACCTCCTACATGCCCACCGGCGGCGGCGCGCCGTCATCATATCTCCCCGGCGGCTACGGCGGACCACCCGCCGGCGGCTACGGCACGGTGGGGCGGCTACGGCACCGGTGCCCCTCCCCCCGCGGGCGGCTACGGCGGCGGATATGGCGGACCCCCTGGCGGCGGCTACGGGGCGCCGCCCGCCGGCTATGGCGGACAACCCGGTGGCGGCTACGGCGGCCCTCCTCCGGCCGGCGGTGGATATGGCGGACCCCCTGGCGGCGGCTACGGCACCGGTGGTGCGCCGTACGGCGGCGCGCCGCCTCCGGGTGGCGGCTATCCCCCGCAGCAGTACCCACCAACGGGGTACTGATGAGCGTACTCCCCATTCGTCTCTATCTCTCTCTCTCTCTCCTCTCTCCTCTCTCCCTGATGTTCTTCGATGTAGTTCCTCCTTCTTCTTTGTTCAATTTTCATTTTCGGTGCATAAATAACTGTGCTTTGTAATGGCGAGGAGGTGACCATTGCGCGGGTGGTGCGTCTGCGTTGCGCGGCAGCGTTTTCTTTTCATTTCAAACTCCAGCGCGGAAAGACGCGCGCCTTGCCCCTTTTATGGTGGGATGGGCTTGCCTGGACACCACACACGCACAGGCACGAACTGACAGTAGAGCAAGCAGCCTGGCCAGCAGATAGCCAGCAGACCCAGAGGCACCACTTCCCTCCCCCCTCTATTCCTTCTGGTACGTGCCCACGCCAACACGGTGTGACAACAACCGCTTTTTGTTGTTTTTTTTCGCACTCACTGCTGGTTTGTGTGTAGCAGGTGCGAGATGTCAGTGTTCGAGTGGGTCGACGAATCAGAGGCCGAGTCAGCCCTCTCCAACCTCAGCATCAACAACACACAGTGGTTCGCACTTCATTGCCCACTCTTCTTGTTGTTGTTGTTCTTCTACACGTTGCCAGGTCTCTGTGGCCAATAGTGCTCAGAAATACCAATTACGTGCTCCCTACGCAGGGTACTCTTCGGGTACGAGGGGGCCAAGATCAAGCTCGTTGCCACCGGCGCCGGCAACCTCTTTGACGTCGCGTACGCTTCCTCCTGCACGCACACACGCACCACGGCACACGCACCACCGCACACGCACACGACCAGCGCGACTCACCCAGGACAGGGTTGTTGCTGGGGGTGCAGGCCTCTGCTGAGCGATGCAGAGATTCAGTACATGGTGCTCACCATCGAGGTGAAGGACCAGGGCGAGGCCGAGCTCTTCTCGACCTCCAAGACCATCTTCATCACGTGGGTGGGCACCGAGTGCAAGCCCATGGCCAAGGCCAGGTCCTCGCAGCACCGCCTGCCCCTCTACAACTACGTCCTCGTACGCACGACCACACGCACACACACGCGCACACGCACACACACACACACTAATGCGCCGAGCAACAGAAACACTTGCAGCTGGGCGCAGAGCTGCAGGTGCTCGAGCCCGAGTACCTGACCGAGGCCAACATTTTGGCCAAGCTGCGCGGCACCCACGTCGAGCACGACGCCACCCTGCCCGCCGCCTCGTCCAGCAGCAGCGGCGGCAGCGGCTCGCAGCCCTCCACGCCTGAGGCCGCGCGCCGCAGCTGTTCGTCGCCCCAGACCACCAACCGCCACGTCATGAAGTCGAGCAGCCTCAGCGCCCAGCAGTACGCCACCTACAAGGGCGCGTCGGACGTGCTGACCGAGGTGGACTTTGCCGACCCCGAGGAGGCCCACGCCAGGCTGGAGGACGTGCGCCGGGACGGCACCGCCACCAACTGGCTCGTCTTTGGCCACGAGGGCTCCAAGAACACCCTCACTGTACTCGGCTCCGGCGGCGGCGGCTGGGATGAGACCGTGGTACACTTCGCCACCGCTCTACCAGCCTTCGCCATTGGACTGTGTTAAGTGTGTCGTGTGTGTCGTGTGTGTCGTGCTGTGTCGTGTCTGCGTGTCGCAGGGGTTCTTTGTGGACGACGCGATTGTGTACTGCGTGCTGGGCGTGGAGGTGGCGGATGAGGCGGGAGGCAGCGAGTACAAGACGACCAAGTACGTCTTCATCTCGTGGGTCGGCCCCAACGTGAAGCCACTCGCCAAGGCCCGCTCCTCCCAAGTTCGCGTCGCCCTCTACAAGCACACCAAGGTACAGCCGCCACCATCACAACCATGCCACGTTCTACGGTGACTAATAGCAACAAATACAACACCACAACTACAACTGCGTGTTCGGTCAACGACAGTTGTTCATGCAGCTGGCGGGCGAGATCCAGCTATTGGACAGGGCCGACCTCTCGGAGACCACCATCAAGCAGAAGCTCAACTCCAACTTCTAAGAACAGCAGCCGCCTCTGCTTTTTCGTGTACAACAACAACTGACGAAAGGCGGCGTTTCGATGGAAACGAACGTCATTCATTACCAAACACCATGAACATGATGTGGGTGCGTCGAGGTGTACTTTACAGAAACCTGACCACACGCATGACATCGACCGGCCCCGGCATTGGAGCTCAGTTGCTGAGCTTGAGGCCGAAGAAGGAGGCGCCGAGGGTGGCGATGAAGGGCAGAAGGATGGCCACGGGCCAGCCACCGACTGTCCACCCGGCCGCGAGCAGCACCAGCAACAGCACCGCCGCCTGCTTCATCGCAATACCGCCGGTCGCCGCCACCACTGTCGCAGTCGTCGCGGTCGTCGCTGTCGCAGAAGGCGACGCGCTGGTCTCGCGTCCGCGCCGCCTGGTCCCCTCTCCCTCCTCCTCCACCACCTGCTGCTGCTGCTGGACGACCTTGGCCGCCGCGGCCAGCTTTTCCTTTTCTTCCTTTTCTTCCTTTTCCTTTGCCAGCTGTCGCTGCTTGTCCTGCGCGTCGGCGAGCTCCTTCTGCTGCAGCAGCTTCTTCTGGGCCTCGGCCTGGGCGGCCTGGCAAGCCGCAGCCGCCTCCTGGGCCTCGTCGGCCTCCTTCTCCTTCCGAACTCGCTCCTGCTCGAGCCGCTCCTCCTCTTCCTCCTCTCGTCGCTGGCGCTCCTGCTCGAGCCGCTCCTCTTCCTCCTCCCTGCGCCGCTCCTCGTCGTCGTCTTCTTCATCTTCTTCCTCCTCCTCTTCATCATCATCACGGTCCATGTCGTCCAGGTCGACCGAGGTGTTGTTGGTGTTGTGATTGCCGGCCACCTCCTCCTCAGCGTCCTCGCTTCCGGCTCCCTCTTCTCCTTCATCTTCATCTTCCTCCTCGCTCTCCTCGCCCACCTCAGCGGCCAACCGCTTGAGCTGCCCACGGGAGACGAAGAAGAGGTCAGGCCAAGCACCGCCCACGCGTACATTGCTCCGATGGCAGGCATCGGGTAAACCGCAAAGTAATAAAACAAATAAATACATAAATAACGGGGCAAGAGCAAAACAAATAATAAAATAGAAATAAAATAGAAAAGTAATACAGGAATATGGGAATACGAGAATAGGGGGGCAGTACCTCTTCCTCGAGCCTCTGTGCTTCGGCCTCCTCGAGTTCCGCTTCAAATTGGGCCTCGCGTAGCGTCTCCTTTGCTTTCATTACCTGCCCAAGAGAAAAGATGGATGAGATTCGACACATGTATCAAAACCGGTGGTGGCCATGGAAAGAAAGAGGATGACAAGAGATGGAAGGTGCCTATGTGAGCCACGAACCTGTTCTTCACCTTCATCTGCCTGCCTGAATCGCTTGATGGCATCCGGGTTGGTGAGCACCCGCTCCACCATCTTCCTCTTATCCGCAAAGTTCTGTGCCATCTTTTACTTTAGAGCTCTCTTCTCTCCGTCAAGTACAACTTCTATCTGTCCTGATTGGTACACCGCGCCGGGCGTGGAGAAGGGTTGAAGTTGCTTTGGCGTTGGCCATACGTGCCGGTCTCAAATTGGCGCGATTGCATCCCTGGATTTTACCGGCCATTGAAAATTCCTAGCATATTTTATTTTTGGCGCTTTTTTCTTTTTTCCTCAGTTGCGATTCCGGAAGATGACGACGCCCAAGCACAAGTTATTCGTATGTATGCTCGCTCTTGCCTGCACACATTGAAAGCTTGTGCAACTTTTAGTATCGTTCTGCTTTAAATCGTATTTTATTATTTTCATTTTTTAGAAGGAAAATTGATTGATTTGCCGATCTGGTGGCCAGGTGACTTGCGGGCGAGGCTGTGAGTCGTACCTGGTGGCGGAGTTGGCGGCGTTGGGCCTCGGCAGCCAAGTGACCCCTGCCTTCCGCGGTGCCTTCATCAATGACCTGCCGCGTGGCGTCTCCCTCATGGAAGGTTTGGGTCCATCTCATCGCAACGCTGTGTGTCGTGCGGTGGTGCGTGTGCGGTGACTGATCGCGGCGCGAATGATGTGTGTTGTGTTGTGCGGCGCTTCGGCTGCCGGCAGCCATCTTCAAGGTGAACTACCAGTCGCACCTCGCCATGCGCGTGCTTCTGCCTCTGCGCAGCTTCGAGGTCCGCGAGAAGATGGACCTCTACGAGCAGGTACCAGGCCGCTGCGTATTTGCACATCTGTGCTACAACACGACCATCATCGCTCGCTGACGCCCGTGTGTCGTGTGTCGTGCCGTATGCGTGTCGTGTCGTGTCGTGTCGTGTCGTGTCGTGTCGTGTCGTGTCGTGTCGTGTCGTGTCGTATGCGTGCGTGCGTGTCGTGTCGTGTCGTGTGCGTACACACAAATATATAGATCAAGAGCGTGGATTGGCGTCCGTACATTCCTGCGGGTCGCACGTTTGCCATAGTGGCCAAGGTCGACCACCCGCACTTCACCAACACCCACTACGCCGCGCAGGTACCTCCCTCCCTTCAACCACGCCACCATGTTTCGCACGCACTGCGCATGCGCAACTAACCGTGTGCGCCGTGTGTGTCGCGCGTGTCGTGTGCGCCGTGTGTGTCGCGCGTGTCGTATGCGCCGTGTGTGTCGTGTTGCACACACACACACACACAGTTGTGTAAGGACGCCATTGTGGACCAGTACCGCGAGCGGAGTGTGGAGCGGCCCGATGTGAACGCACAGAACCCGGACGTGCAGGTGCAGGTGTTCGTGCACGAGGGCCAGGGCACGGTCAACATGGACACGTCCGTGCTCCCGCTGCACATGCGCGGCTACCGGCGCGAGTCGGTCGAGGCGCCGATGCGCGAGACGCTCGCGGCCCACATGCTCCACATGGCCGGCATTCCGCAACACTTCCGATTCTTCAACGAGGTGCGCCAGTCCACTGCCGGCCTCAGTCGAGTCAAATTACCAAAAAGGCGGTCTGTCGTGGTGTGCAACACACACGACACGACACGACACGACACGACACGACACGACACGACACGACACGACACGACACGACACGACACACACAGGCGGAGGCCAAGGAAAGTCTGGTGCTGTCCGACCCGATGTGCGGGTCCGGCACGATCCTGGCCGAGGCCGCGCTGATGGCGACCCAGACGCCGGCCGCCTTCTTGCGCGAGAAATGGTAATTCTGCTGCGTTTCTCTCTCCTGATCGGTTGTTCGACAGCTCACCAGGCGCCTGGACGTGTTGTGCCGTGCGTGTCGTGCGTGTGTCGGGTGTCGTGTCGTGTGCACAGGGGGTTCACGCACCTGCCCGATTTTTCAAAGAAGGCGTGGGACGACTTTAAGCGGGAACAGTTCCTCAAGAGACGACCCCTCAGCAAGCGCATAGTGATCTCTGGCACTGGTAAGCCTCTAAACGACACACACACATGCACGCACACACACACGACCACACGCACACACACACGCGCACAACACTTCTCCCTTGGGGCTTTCCGGCTGATGGTCTTCACATCCCCCCCCCACAGACATCGACCCGAAAGCGGCCCAAGCAGCTTCGCAGACGCTGCGACGATTGGGCTTCAACGTGGTCGAAAACGAATCACAGATGCACAGTACGTCCTTCCCACCTCCCCAATTCGACTTTGCACACCTTCTCACGCCGCGCTCCGCACGACGCACGACGCGATGCGACGAAAAGAAACGACGCGGGAGGACGTGCTGGGCGACGTGCTGATCAGGCGCGAGGACTTCCGGCAGTGGGCGCCGGCGTCGCCCGAGCTCCGACCGACCGTGGTCATGACCAACGCCCCCTACGGCCAGCGGATCGGCGGGGAGGCGACCAACCTGCGGCCGCTCTACCGCAGCCTGGGCGACTTCATGAAGCAGAAGACCCGCAAGCCCGCCACCGGCTGGGTCCTCACCGGCGACCTCCAGCTCTCCCGAGGTATCTCATTCACCCCTACGCCCCCCCCCCTTCTATCACGTGATTGGTCACTTACCGTGTGTCGTGTGCTGTGTGTGTCGTGCTGGTCGTGTCTTGTGTGTCGTGTTGGTCGTGTGTGTGCGGCCGTTTGTGGTGTGGTGTGTGTGTGTGTGTGTGTGTGAAATGTAGAGGTGGGTCTGCAGGCCAAGAGGCGACACATTCTGTACAACGGGGGCATAGAGTGCCGCCTGCTCGAGTACGATCTCTTCTAAAAGCAAACGACACAACTTCAAACCGTGTCGCACTGGCCTTCTCTCCTCCTCCCCCTCCTCCTGGCGGGCGAGGCCGAGCTGCTGGGCGTAGTCCTTCTCCATCGCCGCGAACGAGCTTTCCTCCACCCCTTCCGGTTTTGAGACCGATCCGACGGGTGCAGCCCAAAGTCCGTCAGCTTGATGTCAACCCGCCTGGCCCATCTCTTTTCAAGTGCCACGTGGCCCCTTGCTTAGCTGGGGCTTCCGCCTCCCGCCGACTGGGATGGCCGCTGTGTTGCACGACACACGACACACACGACACACGCACACGACACATTAAGAGTGAGGTGAGACTTGGCTCTTGACCACAATAATCAATTGAACGTGCAACTCAGGGAGAAAGGGAGGGCGAGGCCCTGCTGGCGGGCACCTTGTGCTGCTGGCGGGTGCCCAGGCTGTGTGGCCCGTCCTCGTCTGAGTCGGAGGAGGATGATGAGGAGGAGTCGTCCAACTCAAAGTAGGGATCGACCAGGGTGGGGAGGCCCAGGTTGGCCAGCTCGCGCAGTCGCTCGTCGAGGGTGAGCATCATCTCCACCGGCTTGTTGAGCGCGTGCGGCGGAAAGTGGAGCGCATGCCTCTTGCACTTGGCAATCGTGTGCTGCATCGATATATTGCCTTCGAACAAGAGGGGAGAACTAACGTTAGTGGTCGTGCGCGTGGTGGTGTGGTGTGGGGTGTGCTGCGTCAGTGGTTGGTGTGGTGTGGTACCTTCCCAGCTGACCTCGGGCGGGAGGCTGAACTCGATGGTGAGCACGGCGCTGCCGTCCTTGAGCATCTCCAGGCCGAATCCGGCCAGCTCGTCGAAAACGCTGTAGATCGACAGCTTCGCACCACCGGAGACCACTTCCCACAGGAGCCGCTTGTGAGTGAAGTTGAAGTGGGCCACCAGGTCACCTGCAGACACCACCAGATCACCTTTAGCACTGATTCTGATTGGGAAAAGACGTGAGCGCCTACCGGTGGTCTTGCTCATGCACTCGTAGCCACCGATCTCGAGCCGCATAAAAGCCACGGACAGGATGACCTCCTCCCGCTTCACCGACACGGCGGTCGGGCTGGCGTTGGACGGCTGCGGCCGAAGAACGGGGTCGGACAGCGGCGCTGTCGGGCGCTGCTGCGGCGACGACGACGCCGAAGAGGGCGAGCCCAACAAGGGGGAGGTGCCGGGCAGCTGAGGCGAGAGGCCGGCGGGCAAGCTCTTGGCCTGCTGCGGGACGAGCCGGGGCAAAGGTGAGGGGAAGCCCATCGCCGCCGCATTCTGGCCGAGCATGACCGATCCCACCCCGAGCGGGAGGAACGAGGAGAGGAGCAGCGGGTTGGGCCGAGGGAACTGCGGCTTGCTGATGGGTAGCCTGAGCCCGGGGTGTTTCTGGAATTTGGGTGTCCGCAACGTATAAGTGAAGCGGCCGCGGTTGTGCGCGTGAAGGCCAAGGTGGCGCGTACCAGGCGGATGTGCATCTTGAGGGCGCCCTCGGAGCCGTAGGCCTTGGAGCAAGTGGGGATGTCGCACTTGAAGTTGCGCGAGATCTCCGAGGCCGTGCGTCTCCTTCGCTTCTTCCTCCACTCCTCCGTCGAAATGACCACCACGGAGGGGCCGCCCGATGATGACGACGGGGTTGCCGAAGACGAGGTCGCCGAAGGCGGAGGTAGGGTCGGATTCGTCGATATCGGTACCAGCTGTCGCTTGCCTGCCGGGCTGCCATTGGTGTTGCCGTTGCTGTTGGTGCTGTTGTGGGCGTTGTTGGTGTTGGCGCTGGATTTGGCGCCGAGTTTGCTGATGCCGATGTTGGGTTTGGCGCTGGGTTTGACGGGGTTGGTGGTGTTGTTGATGTTGCCGTTGGTGGAGTTCTGGCGGCTGGACGGGGTGCTGTGGTTGGGGCATGCGGACCGATTGGCAGGCATTGCAGGACCTGCGGTCGAAGTCGGGGCTGGCGGAGGTCCCAATGCCTGCGAGAGCGAGGGCAAGGGCGGTAGAGACGGCAGAGAGGCGAACGAAGGGTGAAGGGCGGGGTTGGGGAAGATGGAGGGCAGCGGCTGGGGGAGAGCAAAGAGCGAAGGCATCCCCTGCGGGTGGCCGTTGACGCCTCGCATAAACGCCGACGGATCAAAGGCGAAGGGCGACCCCGGCCCGAGGGGGAAGATGGTAGTCCCCGCGCCGATGGAGATGGGGGGAGGGCCGTAGGGGCTGAGGATCCGCGCGTTGGTCTGCTGGGCAGGGCGAGGCTGCTGGTGTAGCTGTGGCTGCGTGGGCTGCTGTCGGATCGGTGGAGAAGGCGGCAGCTGTCGAGACAGCTGCGGCGCTCTTGGTGGCAGCTTCTGCTGCGGAGGAGGGGACGGAGAGGGAACTGTCTGAGGTCTCGCGGGGGCCGGTGGCTGCTGCTGCTTCGTGGGCGAGGGCCGCTTAACGGACAGCCTGCGCTTATCCGCCTCCAGCTCTTCGAGTTGTTGGTACCTCTGCCGACAGGCCTGCAACACGTCCGTCCAAGCGAATGTGGGGTCAGGCCATGTTCACGTGCGAAATGATAATTTTCGTGTTTTCCATATTTACACATATATTGTCCAAATTAGGAAGGTGTAGGGACCAAAAGTTATCTGTGGCGTCGTGTAGGCCGCCCGCGATAAGAAATAAAAAGATGGGGAGGAAGTGGCGAAGTAGTGGCTATGAAGAAGAAGAAGAAGAGGGGCCATGTGAAATGGTGGGAGAACGTACCGAGGGGGTCTTACGGGAGTCGCCGTGGAAGGTGGAGGCCACCAGGTTCCACTCCAAATCGAAGATGCGTACAGCGTCCAGGAGGCTCAGAGTGTCCTCCTTCGTCCATGACGGGTTCTCGAGGTAGAGCACGTACTCTTCGTCTGTGAACTCGGGGATCGCGGGCGGAGATGTGCCCCGGCCGCCCGCAGCTCGAGTCGCTCTACTCGAAGAAGAAGAAGAAGTAGATGTAGAAGATGCAGAGCTGCGAGCCGCCCTGGGCGGCGGACCCGACGTCGTTGGCCTTTCCATCGCGAAGTAGAAAGAGGGAGCTGAAGAGGAGGGAGGCTCTTGCCGAAGGTTGCTGTCGTCCGTTCGTAAAAAAAAACAAATAAAGGAGCTTCTTCCAACCACCGTTTGCTCTTTTGCTTCTTGTGTGTTGCTAGCGCTACGCCCAAAAGCAGCAGGCCAGCCAGGAAAAGGAAAGGCAGAACAGATAAAAAGAAGAATAAAATAAAGGAGGGGAGGTCGAATCACCGCTGGGGAAGGCAACCTTCTTCTTCTTCATCTGTGCCGAACCGGTGGACCCAGGCCTCTTGGCCTTGTTGGCGGTGGTGCTCTGTGGAGTTCGTCAGGAGCTGCAAAACGTACGCACACTGAAATAAACATGCGTACATGAAAAGAGGCCAGAGTGGTGAGAGATCTTTGCAAGCGGGTAGCACCCGCGGCGTGTTCTTGTCCAGAGCACTTCCAGGGCAAGAAGGAAAGAGAAGGGAGAGGTCGTGGTCTCGCTGGTGTAGTCGGGCGACGTTCAAAGGGCCTTATGGAGCGAAGATGAGAGGGCTGATGTAGGGTATGAAGCCGTTCGCCAGTTCCGCCGCCTTGTAGACTCGCACGCTCAGGTTCTGCAGCTGCTCTCGCTTCTGCTCACATGTGACCCCCGTTTACAAGATGATGGTCCGAGCGAAGGTAAGGATACCAAGAGCTTGAAGAGAAATGGACGGAGAGGCAGTGGAGAGGTACCGTGAGGTTGCAGTAGAAGACGGGCATGCCATAGACGTTGGTCACAGCTTCCAAGTGCTCCGTGGTGAAGGCGTGACTGCGATTGAGGTCGACTAGCGCGAGCCGAACAAGAAAAACGGCCAGTGTCAGTGACACGGAGCCTCGGATGATGACGACGATGCAGGGTAAGAAGGCAAGGTGATGAGGAATGGTGGTACCTCGGGTCGCTACGATGCAGGACCGACCCTGCGCGAAGTAGTCCTTATCAACCTTGAGCAATCGCGTCTTGAGGTTCGATAAGCTCTTCGCGTTGGTCATGTCGACGAAGAAGACGAGGAAGTCGATACGCGGACGCGACGCATCTTCAGGCAGTGGCAGTGCGGCCGTCGTGTGACTGTTGGGCGCGTGTGGGGCAACGTGAGCAACGCATGACCGGCTCCAGCGCTGAGCTAGCTGCACGTACATTTTGGTCAGAACCTTCCAGGGTTCTTGTAGCATTGCCTTCGCCAGCGTCTTCTTCCCGGCCTTGGGATCGCCAACGAACTGTGAATGTCACGAATTATTAAGGGATCCTTTAGATTTGCCAAATGAACCAAGATGGTGTCGTACAAGAAGAGCCATGCTGTTGGGCACTGCCCAAGGAAGGGCTTGGTAAAGTGAGAGAATGTCCCTGCGATCACCAGAAGGGGGAGCTTCATCTGATGCAGACTCTGATGGCCCCTGCTCTTGCTCTGATGGTTGCGATTGCGAAGGCGGCCTCAAGATCTGCCGATACTTACTCATTGCGCGCCACTAATCCAATCCCGTACCATCGAAGAAGGAACAAAGGAAAGGATGAAGAAAACAATTGGCGCAGGGTCTGCCAGGAATTGAATTCGAGAGGGAGAATGCTGTTGTGTACACTGGCATTTATTCGCATTTACGTACTCACAACTCCAACTACTCTTTACAATTGAATTATAACGCACACACCTCCCGAAGCTGCTTCGAATCGAGCAGGCGGGAGTTTCTCTTTGGCCATCTGTCCGCGGCTTGCTTACATCTCTTGCTGTTGCCGTCGCTGTCTTCGATTTACTTCTTGCCTTCCGCCTCGGCAGTTCCATTCTCGGTGGAGTCGGCCTCCACTCGCCTCCTCTTGCGCGAGGGCTGGTCGCTCGACGTCGAGCTGGCCGCCTCTCGCCTCGCCGCAGCCCACTCAGTTTCGGCGGTGTGTAGCCAACGCTCGAAGAACTCGACCAGCTCTGTGTTCTGCGTCTGGATGGCGAGCTGGAGCGGGCTCGGGTAGGATTTCGTTTTCTTCGTGATGATGGCGCCCTGCTGCACGAGCGTCTTGGCGCATTCGTTCAACTTGTGCTTGACGGCGACGTAGAGTGGGGTAAAATCGTCGGGATCGACGAAATTGGGGTCCGCCCCCTTCTCCGAGATGAAGGTGGCAAGATCGTCGAGGTTCTCCTCGAGCACGAGCATGATGAGGAACTTGCCGAAGTAGCTCTTCGGGTCCTTCCCCTTCGCTACGACATTGCTCGGATCGACATTTCGCGCGGAGATGGGCGAGACGAAGAGAGGCTTGCGCGTACGCTTGCCCGTTCTAGCGCCGGGAGTGACAGGGGTACGAGGGGTAGTGCTCATCATCTACTCTCTTCTACTCTCCTTCAGATCGTTCCAGATGCGCTGCTCTAATGTTTGTTGCGGTGAAGAAAAGAAACAAAATCCAAAAAATCCAAATGACCGTTGGCGTCAGTTTTCTTCCAATGTCGACACTTATTATTGGCTGTCGTTTACCGTCGCAGCAAACACACTTTGAACAAATGGCGAAGCAGGACGGGGGCACCAAGAAGGGTGGAGCCTCTTGACGCTGTCGGCTTCGATCACTGCTATATTTCCACAACATAGAATGAAGTGGACACACTCATACACGCTTTTGTACAAAACACCCGCCCACCACGACGCCACCCTACGTGACACAAGGATACGACACGACACTCCTCTGGGTGGTGTGATGCATCAGGAGAAGAGCTTGAGGCCCTGGATGATGTCGGGATTCTTCATGGCGCCGTCCTTGTACTCCTTGATGGTGATCCGGCCCGTTCCGTTGGAGTCCATCTGCTCGAAGAACTCCTCCACCAGCTGCTCGTGCGACTCGTACTTCTTGCCGGAGAAGGTCACCAACGGGCCGACGAGCTTGTAGAACGAATCGAGCACCTTCGTCACGTCCTCCTTCGTGATGACACCCGCACCATGCACGTCAAACATGTGGAACGCGACTGTCGTAAGGAGAGAGCAGCAACATGCACACGGTTAGCGAATCGTCACACGCGCCAGCAGCCACACTAGCACGAAAGACAAGAGGGCAGAGCGAAACGCGTATAGATAGCATAGCCGGACGAAGAAAGCATAGGAGAGAAGAGGAGGGAGAAGGGAAGGAGGGGCAAAGATGAATGGCTGCGTACATTCAAGCTTCTCATCGGGAGTGCCGCGCGTCATCACCGAGAGGGCAGCGACGAACTCTTGGAAATTGATGGTTCCATCCTTGTTGGTGTCGAAGACGTTGAAGATGAGGTCCTGAAGAAAGTTGTCCACGACGCCCATCTGCTTCATGACCTCCTTGAATTCGGTTTTGCTGATTACTCCCTGCGGCGTCTCCTTTCTGAACTGTTTGTACATCGCACTCAGCTCCTTCTGGTCGACTACGCAGCGATACAAACGTCGGCGTCAACATCAATTCAATAATAATCTCACATGAGCGAAAGAGAAGGGTCTACAATACAGTGTGTCTGTTCATTGAGCTTGTCCAATTCCTCCTTCCTCAGCGTGTTGCCGGCCTGCGAGTTTCCCATCTTGGAATTGAATCTCTCCTCGCGCGACTCTGCTGCCTTCTATCAGTCCCGGATCAAATCGAATGCCAGATTTGATGCGTTCCTTCCTTGGCCCGTCTTCCTCTCGTCTTCTTCAGCTAATACTAGTAAAGGTGTACCTTCGTAGACTTCTTTGCTCGTCCCGTGCTACCGCTGTGGTCTTATTTGCTCAAGAAAATGCGAGAGAAATAGACTTGTTTGAAAAGGCAAGCGACGTTTCGTTCGCCCGAAAGAAGACGAAGCGAAAAGCGAGCCGTCACGTGGTCTTACAGCTCACAAGTCTGGGTCGGCAGGGTCGGCCTCCATGTGGGGGCACATACTCTCGCCGTCGTCAAAGGGTCCGCGCCCACAGCACATCCAGCGCGCGTCGATCAGGCGCATCACTTCCTCCCGGCTGCTCGCAATGCGCTTGAGATACTCCTCCTTCGATTTGAGCTCCACGAGCTCCTCGGCCTGCTGCGCGCCCGGAGTGGTCGGCGGCAGACCAACCTTGAGGCGGCACAGCAGCGACCGCTGGTGCTGGCGGCAGCTGTCCGGGTGGTTGTCCCTCTCCGTGTAGACCTTGGCGCACCGCGCGCACACGCGCTCGCGCTGCACCTCCTTGGCCTCGCTCTCCACCCTCAGCTCGTCCGCGTTGAGCGGCCACTGGTCGCGGGTGAACTTCTCCTTGAACCGCGAGGCCAAGTAGGGGTCCTTGGTAAGCACCACCATCCAGAATAGCTTGTTGGGCGCCG